CCCACCTTTTCTTGGTGGTGTTGGGGGAACGGCTCTTATAACATCAGGAGCCACCGTCGCTGGAAGTACCATCGGAATTAAGGCCTCCGAGAGAAGGACGGGTGCTGTCAAAACGTTCGAGTATCGCCCATTGCACAATAATAAACGCCTTAACCTTATTGTCACGGTTTCTGGGTGGATGAATGGCAAAATCGATGACATTCGATTGCCATTTAGTACAGTGGATCCGATCATGGGTGATATTTACTCGGTTTTGTGGGAGCCTGAGATGTTGCAGAGTACGGGGCAAACTATTAACATCCTTGCTACTGAAGTATGATGCCCATTCCCCTTTGGTTTATCATCACTACTCAAAGGGCGAATCAACTAATGGTTATTATGCAGGCTCTGACACAAGGTCTTCAGCAAGTTTTGGGTGCTACAATTCTTACGGCTTTGATGGCATCGCTGCAACTCCCTATAGTTCTAACGAAACTATCATACCTTATTGATAACCCGTGGAACGTTTCACTCGCCCGTGCTAATGCTGCCGGGCTCATCCTGGCTGATTCCTTGATAAATAAAAATCTAGGAAATAGGCCCGTCACTCTTCTTGGATTCTCACTCGGGTCACGCCTGATTTTCTCATGCCTAAAAGAGCTTGCTAATAAAGGTGCATTTGGACTGGTTCAAAATGTATACCTATTCGGTTCGCCTGTCGTTGTATCTAAGGACGACTATACTAGAGCTCGAAGCGTTGTCTCCGGGAGGTTTGTGAATGGCTATTCTTCCAATGACTGGATTCTTGGCTATCTTTTCCGGGCAACCAGCGGTGGGATTATGCGTGTTGCTGGGCTTGCTCCTGTAGAGGGTATTCCCGGAATCGAGAACGTCAATGTCACAAATCTAGTCAGTGGCCATATGGCGTACCGTACTGCCATGCCTCGACTTCTACGTGAGGTAGGGTGGGATGTAGAAAGTGACGAATTTACAGAAATCGAGGACCCGGACCCAGACAAGCACGAGGAACGACAACGCGAGCTGATGCGTGAAATAGACGAAGCTCGCAAACAAGCTGAATTAAAGCCGGATAAGAAGAGATTTGGCTTCTTCAAGAGCGGGAAACTTGCTCAAAAGAAACGTTGGGAAACTTATGATGTTAATAAGAATGCGAAGGATCCTAATTCGCCTGGGAAACCCAGTGAAGCAGACAACTCCGTTCTTTTCGACATTGATGCAATCAGAGCGGAGCTAGCTGGTGAACATATTGAAATCAAGCAGTTGGAGTCCACTTTGCCTCCAATTAACCTTGATATGAATAATGTACCACCTACACCCGCGAACACTCAAGCCGACTCAACGCCAGCGCTGGCTGCAGAGCCCGTGACAAGCAAGGATGAAGATATAATGTCACCAACTGCCCCGATTTCCTCTCTCAAGGCTAATACATCCTTGGGGGATAATAGCCCATCGAAAAACAATACACATTCATGGCCTGTTCAAGAGGAGGAGATCGAAATGACGTTCGATACCTCCTACAATTCTCCGGTCACCTCTCCGCCCCATAAATCGGAGTCCGGATCTCCAACGTATCCTTCAATGACCTCACCCAGCAGCCACCATGGACTCTCAGACACCAACCTTCCTTCCCATAACGCCTGGGCCGACCAACATGATGACTATACCGAGCCGAACATAAAGATGACATTCCAATGAGACGATGAGCTGTCTTATGGGGCCCCCGTTCACATCGATTCGAGATGGCGTATCTAATCCTAACTTACTTTGCTTATTTTCCGTTCCTCTTCTTACCCATACACCCTTCTTGTATCTATCTACATTATACGTAACCTAATGGAGCTCATCCGATCATGACACAGCAATAGCCACGTAGAAAGTAGACTATATAGATGAGAAAGAGGATTTCTTCTTCTGTGG